CTAGAGATCTGAACTCAGATCCTCATGTGTACCGTGGCTCTTCCCCCACCAAGCCTCTCCCTGGCTCCTTGTCTCATTTGGACTATGTCACATGATAAGTGACTTAGTTCCCATTCCATTGCCTCAACCGGGAGCTCTGCATGTGGCTTAGACGGGAGCTCTGAGTTGCTTATGGCCCTCCACAAAGGGCCTCACAATTTCTGTTTGATGTGAAGATGCTAGCTCAGAGAAGGAAAACAGTGTTTACATCCTGGTTATGCAGCAACTAAGACTGACAGCTGGGGCTATATTTCACCAGTTGATGTCAACGCTTTAAGTACGGTGGCTCCAGGAAAAGCCACTCTTAGAGACCCAGTGCCCTGTAGGTGGCAGACAGACCAGTGAGGAGACCAGCCCATCTATTCTGTCTCCAGCCCTTGCCAAGATGACCAAGGTTTTAAAGCAGAGCACTCTGGGTGCCCTGGCTCTCCCATGATCCAGTGTTCAGGCTGTAGAAGAATGACTTCCCCAGCCTTTCCCCTGTGCTCAGGGCACAAGCTGAACTGCACAGCCTCCTGTGCATGACTGTTTTCCTCTCTGCCCCCCCCCACACACACACACACTCACACACACACACACACACACACACACACACTGCTCCAGTATGTCCTGGGCCCTGTGGCCTCCAAGCGCATAGGGAACCTGTGAAGGGCCAGGGCTCCTTTGTCTGCCCTGCTGGTGAGACTCCAGAGATAGACCCCACAGGCTCTGTCCCTGCCCTGTACCCTCCACTGCCTCCCAAAGCTGCAGGAGCAGCTGTGGGGCTCTGAAACAGAACACAAGCCTGGGGGACGCGGTGCTCATAAATAGAAAGCATCTAAGAATAATAATTGTGGGTTTGAGAATCGTTAGGGGCTGCAAGGCCCAGCTCCCCCCGCGCCCCTCAGCTCCAGAGGGAAAGGTCACCCCTAGCCAGGATGGTAAATTCCTTTCACGCTTGTCATTAGCCCACACTACATTGGATACGTTCCTTGGCACAGTTCATCAGGGACACCAGGCAAGCCATTTGCCACACAGACACAGTCTCTACTCTTGGAACTCCATGTGAGACCGTCATTTTCAGCTCTGCCCCCATCATCCTGAACCAGTGGCTGCCAGTTCCTCCTGGGGTCTGGCAACTTGGGGCACAGGAGGAAGATGGAAGCCTGGTCATGCCGGATACTAGCTATCCCAGGGCACACTGGCACAGCTCTTCCCATGAACCACGGGTCTCAGGGTAGGCAGGAGGAAGCTCTGGTGGGTAAATGAGGGAGGGACTTGGGGCAGGTGGAAATGATAGCCATTTGCATGAAGAGGGAGCCCTGGGCTGAGCTTACTGGAGCAGTTTGCTGTCTCTACTGCCCAGGTAGCACAGGCTCACAGGGCCTGCACACTGCACACCCTGACAGTGTGAGGCAGGGTGGGGATGGCAGCCACTGTAGTGTCAATGCAGTAGAGGGTAAAGACTCAGGTCTAGATGCTGAGGAGTAGGAAGACTGTGGAGGGTACCATGTTCCCTGGGTCTGAGCAGATAGGGACTCACCCAGTGCTGGCTCATTGATGCCCTCTGGCCATGTGCCCAGCAACCCCAACATCCCTGTCTGGATCTCCTTGGCTTCACACACATACAAGTCACATCCCCTGCCCAAAGCTCTTCATCCCCGTGTGCCTTGGGCACAGACCCCTACTGGAGGTGGAGGTATGAGCCAAAGTGCAAAGGCTGACAGCTGTCAGCAGTGGGCATCTTCCTCTCTGCTACACTGGTCCCACAGTGCTGTTGGCCTGTCCCCAGCACAGAGGGAGGGGGAGCTAGAGACGGCACATGCACGTAGCCCATAAATATTTCTAACCGCAGCCAGCACGTCTGACTGGGCAATTTGCTTTTTAAAAAATTGCGCTCTAATTTTAAGTGAACAGCCCCTAATTATGGTGATTTGCAGGCACCTGGGGACCGGGTGGCATTTGAACATGGCAGAGCGGTACAGGCACTGATTGGCGGGGTGTCATTGAACCCGCACATGCTGATAAGCCAGGACCACTTCCCTGGGTGGGGCTGCACCAGGAGGTGAGCCTACCCATGCCAAGGCAGGCAGGGCAACAGGGGAAGCCAAGTTGAGAGAGTGGGCAGAGGGACTGTGGAAGGGCCTAACTGGGCCATGTCAAAGTTGTGGTACAAACCTTTGACTTGGTTTTGTTTGAGACTTGCAAGGAGAGACATTTCCTGCCCTCTCTCCAACCTCCAGAGGGACCTCCCAGGACTTGTACTGACCACACAGAGGCTCCATGAGCAGATACCCAATGGGGTTGGAGTGGGTTTTATGTGCCCTCTTTAGTTCTTGCCTATTTATAAAGACAGGCAAGTGGTGCTTACAGCTGAGATGGGTCTATTTCAAATAAAGAATAGCTGTGGTGGCCTGTCATCTGAGCCACTTGGAACACAGAGGCAGGAGGACCATAGTTCAAGGCCAGCCTGGGCAACTTAGTGAGACCTTCTCTCAAAATAAAACAATATTACCAAGAAGACTGGAGAGTGGCTCAGTGGTAGAGCCCCTGCCTAGAATCCCCCAGTGAGGGGCTGGGGTGTGGCTCAGTGGTAGAGCCCCTGCCTAGAATCCCCCCAGTGAGGGGCTGGGAGTGTGGCTCAGTGGTAGAGCCCCTGCCTAGAATCCCCCCAGTGAGGGGCTGGGAGTGTGGCTCAGTGGTAGAGCCCCTACCTAGAATCCCCCAGTGAGGGGCTGGGGCGTGGCTCAGTGGGAGGGCACCTGACTACAGTCCTCTAGTGTAAGGACTGGAGGCGTAGCCTGATGTTGGGGAACTTACCTAACCTGTAAGTTAGGTTCCATTTCTAGTACCACACTTAAACAGACAGACATGCATCTGGGGAGGGGCAGGGGTGACATGACACCCAGAAGTTCCTGCTGAGGGGACTCAGACCATGGGGGTGTCGGGACAGGAAAGAAGCCTGGAGGTCTCCTCCCACACTATTCCTGCCCCCACCCAGCCAGCTCTGCCTGCTCCTTCTCAAACAGCTGCCTCAGAGTCAGCCCCTCTGACATTTCAGGAAAAACATTGCGAGTCGAGAGCAGAAGGGAGAAATGAAAGGATTTTCTCAAGAAAAGGTCAGAGTGGTTTCTCTTATTTTTGTTTAAAGATGGTTTGTGTTGAACTATGACAAGGCTAAATGTATTAAGGGCCATGGGAACAGGCTGGGGCGGCCTACACTAGAAAACAGGAGGAAAACCCAGGTAACAAGCAAGACAGGAGACAGCCTGAGGAAGCAGTGAGGCAGAACCCCCATTCCCTCATGGCCCACGAGGGAGGGGGTGAGACGGTGTGGGGCCTGGACAGCTGCAGTCTCCCCGGGTCCCCTCTTGCTCATGCTAGGGAGTCAGTGGCAGTCGTGGTCTGCCAGGACCTAAGGGAGCAGCCTGGCCATCTGTGTGACTCCCAGGAGCAGGGTCACCTGCAGAGCTGCTGGCAGGAGGGGCCTTTCAGAACAAACTCCTGGATGCATGCCTTGGGCCATGCGGCCGGGTTGCATATGGGTTGCATACATCCACTGTTTGTGCGTTACTCATTGGCACAGGCTACTCACAGACAGGCGCTCCCTGCTCTCGCCGTGGGACACACCACCAGCCTCCTGCCTCTGCCATGTTGTCTTGTATAGATGCCTCACACCAATGGCACCACATAAACAGCCTACTATGCTCAAAGTTCCTGAGCTTGCCCCTGTTCATGGCTGGGTTATTTACTTACATATGTGAGGCTAAACTGCACTGTTTATCCTGCATCCCTGCAGGCCATTAACTCATCATGTCACAGTGGACAGTGGCGTGTGCCCCTTCGTGTGGATGTGTGTTTAGTTGGCCTGGGTGGCACTGAAGGGAAACCAGTAGATCACATGGGTGTGCTGAGGAATTGCGAGGCCTTTCCACAGGAGCCGAACTTCCTGCCAGCCATGCACAGATGTTCTGATTTCTTCTCATCCTTTCTGATGCCTGCCTTTCTTCAGATGGCTGTCCAGTGGGATCTGGCCTGACTTACATCCCCTGGCAACCCCATGAGCCCACTTTCTTTTTTGGACCCTCATGCTTCTTCCTTGGAGAACCTGCCAGTCTGACCTCTGCTCTGCTCCTAATTGGGCCCTCTGTCTTTCTGTGGCTGAGTGGGGAGGGCTTTAGGTTTACTGGACACTAGTCCTACATCAGACCCAAGGTTTGGGAGTAGTCCCGTGTGGAGTTGTGACTTCTTGCCTGGCCTTGCAAGCAGGGGGCTTTTCTCTCCTACCCAAGTGGTCCTTCTATATTTTGGGCCACTACAGTATGGCTGGACCAATGGGGAGGGAAGGCTGCAGGAAAAGTGAGCATTGGGAGAGGAAGGATGACAGGAAGGCCCAGGGGCTCAGTCTGCTTCTCCCAGCTGAGCCTGAATAGTGAAGGGTAGCCTGCCCAGACAGAGCACAGCCTGGGCAGACCCAGGGCAACTGCATCTGTCCAGCTGTGAGCCTGGCTGCAAGCTGCACTCCCACCTCCCCTCACAGTGGTCACAGCCATCGTGTCCTCCTTCAGTTATAGGGGATGTAAGAAAACAGGGCAAGATCCAGTCAGGGCTAAACCTCCATCGGTGATACCCAGCATTCTGGCTTCAGACTGGAAGATGCTCTGGGCTTGCTTCACCTCAGCAGATCAAGCAAGTAACAGCTAAAGATCCAGGCACTGGAATGGAAGTCTCAGGAATCTGTAGGTGGTTGGAATGGCCCTGAGGCAGGACTGGCTCCCTGTCGTGAATCTCAGCTCTGCTGAGGACCTTGAACCTTGCCTCAGTGCAACCCCACTGAGTGCAAGAAGCAAGCCAGTGAGTGCCCCCGTAGCCCAGGCTCCACTCCAGTGACAGACAACACAGCCTTCCCTGTCCCTCACCCCCTCTGCTGGGGAGCATGTGAGGACAGAGGACAGATGCTGATTCCCCTCTCTCTTCTGCAGGCCACAGGCCCCTCGGGCTCTAAGATGCAGCTGCTGGAGACGGAGTTCTCGCGCTCGGTGCCGGAGCTCATTGAGCTGCACTTGCTGCAGCAGGACAGCATTCCTGCCTTCCTCAGCGCGCTCACCATAGAGCTCTTCAGCCGCCAGACCTCCGTCTAGCCTCTTCCCTGAGCGGCCTCGGCCACTGGACCTCGGCCTAGCCTGTAGCTGCAGCCTCTCACGTGTAGCCCCCAGACTGCTTTGCCACCCATAGCTGGATCCTGTCACAAACACTAGCCATGGCCTCTGCTCAGGCAGCCGCTCTGTGTCTTGCCCCTGGCCAGCAGGAGCAAGCTGCTGGGGATGACCAAGCCAGACCACACCCACTGCTCTCCTCCCATCCCACCTCCTGTTCTAGGGCCTCTCCATGGACTGTCCCAAGGTGTTCCTGTACCAGCCTCCAGTTCCATGTGCTGGTTGCTTATGTCACTTCAGTGGCCAGACTCTGGCCTGTGTCCACAGTCTAAGACTAATGAAATAAAGTGCTACCTTTATCTTCCCTCCCCGGACCGTGTCCAAGACTCCAGGCTCCTCGCTGTGCGGGCCTCACCACACTGTGTCGTGCTTTCCTGGATACCTGGAAGGCTGGCTCATGTGTGCAGCCTGAGAGGTGGGCTGGGTCGGAGCACTAGAATCCCTTCTCTCTGAGCCGGGGTGGCTCACTCCCTGCCCTAGTTTCTTTCCTGCCTTTCCCCTGCCTGAGGCCTAGAGTCCAGTGGGTAATTTTCCCTTCCCAGCTCCCCCTGCGAGGGGCCCCACCAGGCCCAGCCATCTTCACCACAGCAAGTATCCTGAGTAACAGGTTTTCTTGGGCCTGAGCTGGGTGGGTGTCTGGACTGGCCTGAGAGACAAGGCACCTGATCATGTGTCCCCTATGCATTGGTGACCTGTCACCTGAGTACACCCTCCTCACAAGCCTGCAAGAGAATGGAAATGGACAGCCTGCTGGGAGCGCTCAGGCTTGGGCCAGAGCCCTTGGGCCAGAGAGAATCTTACATGTGGTAGCCCCTGGCTTACACCAGCCCCTTGGTGAGCCCCCACTGAGAAAGGGGTCTTAAGCTGCTAATGACTTACTTTAAGGGATTAGTGGCATGGTGACAAGCGTCACAGCTAGAAGGTAACAGGATTTGCTGTGTCCAGGCCTCCAGCTCCCCTCCCAGGGGACGCCCCCCCTGCTGCCCCATTCCCCCCATCACACTCAGCTGGAGGACTAGCTCGCCCATGGCTGAGCTCTTACTGTCTTGTCCTGTATTGCCTGGTGCCCCAAGGCCCTCTGGGATGTATAGATTGTGGGTGTCTCTCCAGCTTCTGGCCCATCCCAGGGACCACCAGGCTGTTCAGAGGCAGGAGGTAACCAGGGCACATCAGAATCCACCTACTTAGAGTCACCGACATCACGGACCACATCATGGACCGGCTGTGCTAGCTGAACTTCCCAGGTCCCAGCTCGCTCTCCCATGTCAAGCTGGCCGTTGTCTGGTCACCCTTCCAGCTGGTGGCATCAGGCTTCAGAGTCAGACATGGATGGCCCTCCTGCTTCCCAGCGTCCCAGGCCAAGTACAGGCTGTCTTCATCCTCACGTAGACTAGAAAGGAGACTCAGAGGCCCAGGAGCTGCCAACTGAGAGCACAAACATGCACAGTACACACATGCACACGGTGCACCATTACACATGGAAGCTGTGTAGCCACTGCATGTATGAGGCATGTGTTTACATATGGAAACGAGTCATAACTGAGTCTGTGCGTGCATACATTAGTGTATTTGGACACGGACTCTGCATGTCTGCATGCATGAGGTGCTTGTGCACATGCATGCTTGGAGCCTGAGTAGTTCTCTCTCTCTCTCTCTCTCTCTCTCTCTCTCTCTCTCTCTCTCTCTCTCTCTCACACACACACACACACACACACACACACACACACACACACACAAAGAGAGAGAACACCAACAAGTGGGAGAAAGCAGCCCCAGCGAGGTCTGCTTTCTGGTTAACCCTACAATTTGAATACATTCTTATCATTAAAGCAAAAACTAGTAAGCCTTCAAAGAGACAGGAGGAGGAAGGAAAGCCCTCCCTTGGCTCCCAGCCGGCCTCCCAACCTGGTGGGCGGACCGGCCTGTCTCGGGTGTGGATGGGCGAGAGTGCCCAGGGAGTGCCCGGGTTTATTTTGTCAGATTCTGTACAGGAGCTTTCAATAACTGCTTTGTCGAACAGCTCGGTTTTTCCCAACAACCATCCACAGATCCGTAGCCACTGGGTTTTGTTGCTGACTCTGAAAGACACAGACATCAAAGGTTCTCATAAGGCTTCTCGAGAACTGAGGCTAACAGAAACACCAACTCCTGAGCAAAGCGGAAGCTGCCAGCAACTCCCAGAGCTGCTGCATTTCAGAGCCATTCAGTTATCTTTGTGTGTGTGTGTGTGTGTGTGTGTGTGTGTGTAGAGCATGTACTATCGAGCATATGTGGATGTCAGAGGACTGTTTGCCAGAGTTGGTTTTATCCTTCCTCAATGTGGGTCCTGGAGATTTGAACTCAGATCATCAGGCTTGGCAGCAAGCACCTTTACCTGATGAGGCATCTCACTGGCCCCCTGTGCCACTGTTTTTAAAGGCAAATGAATAGTCAAGTTCCAGGGCCCAGTTGGGGAGCATCTTGTCTGGAATCAGATCTGCTCACATGTTAGCTGCCTTATACTGTACCACAGTGCCCTCTCACTAGACAGAGCCTCAGAATGAGGTGAGGTGGAGACAGGAGGATTCCCCAGGACTCTGGCCAGCCCACCTAGCCTACTCAGCCTCAAGTTGCTGAGAGAAGAGACCTGTCTCAGCAATGACTCAATAAGGTGAGTGGCTCCTGAGAAATCATGCCTGTGGTTGAATTCTGGCCTCTCCATATGCAGATGCATGCACACACACATGGACATAACACATGCCTGGACATGCACACGCATGCATATACACATATATAGACATTCACAGGCATACAAAGACAGTTGATGAGAACACACACACAGATGGATGACACTTTGAGGACCCAAGGAGACGGGTATACAAGCCTTGGCCTTAGACTGGGAGGATGTGTGTGTCATTTAAGCCGAGGTCACATGTGGGTCCCGCTTTCCCGGCCAGGCTGCTTCGTTTTCCCCTGTGACATTTATCACCACCTCGCATTCTGTTTAGTGCATTGCTTATGATCTGCATATATATGTAGGGAGATATTTTAATCACTCTTCTCACCTATGGAACAGTGCTGTCTCCGGGAAATGTCATGCCGATGACATACATCATTTGAATTGTTCAGTAGGGGTTAAGGACACATGCCTGTCTTCCAGAGGACGTGGAACCCATGTCAGGTGGCTTATGACCACTTGTAACCCCAGTTCCCCAGTGTCCTCTGCTGTCTTCCGTGGGCCCTGCATTCACATGAACATACCAACACACAGGCATACATACCGTGAAAAAGACAATCTGGGATGTTCAGTCACCACATCAAGGACGTGTGGAGTGGAGCTAATACGATCATTCCGTGGGTAGCACTTTGCTTCGAAAGTGTGAGGACTCAGATTCCGCATTGTAATCCTGTTGTTCCTAAGAGAGAGGAAAAGCCCCAAAACAGTGGTTCTCAGCCTGTGGGTCGTGTTGAGTAATCTTTTCACATGGGGTCACCTGAGACCATCTGCATTTCAGATATGTATGACTCATAACAGTAGCAAAAATACAGTTATGAAGTAGCAACAGAATAATTTTATAGTTGGGGTCATTACAACATGAGGAACTGTATTAAAAGGTCACAGCATTAGGAAGGTTGACAACCACTGCCCTAGAAACGTGCGTGCTAGCCATCTAGCGTGCGCATGTGCAGCTGCTCTAATAAACCCCTTTTTGCTCCCAAATCACTGCAAGGCTTTTCCACGCCCTGTTTAGCCTGTTCTAGCCCCTAAGCAAATGAGGCAGAGACTTGGTATGTTTATTAACAAGCTTCAGGCCTGAGCTGCCGTGTTGTGAGCTCTTCTCTCTGTCTTAGGCTGCTGAGTTCCCATCCCTGTGGTCCTCTGCCTTTAATCTGCGTCTGGCCTTGGCTCACTCCGGTCGATGTGTCCTCCCGCCTGCTCTCCCATCACTATCTCGAGAATCCTGCTCTCTTCACAGGGTTTCTCCACTCCTTCTCTTCCGCCCTCCCACTCTACTCTCTCTGGGACTCCTAGACTGGAATTGGAAGTCCCACCCTATTCTGCCCAGCTAATTGGCTTATCAGCTCTTTTATTGACCAATGGGAGGAGGGTAATGTAAAACAGTGTTTACATAACAGAGTCCCCAGATGGTTGACCATGCCATCTTCAGGACCTCAACCAGATACTGCTGAAAGATGAGGCAGCAGGATCATGAGATGAAGGACAGCCTGGGCTACGCTTACAGAGCCAGGCGTGTTTAGATCATTTAGCAGCAAGTATCCTAAGACTGGAATACAGAAGTTAGTGTGGTCCTTACCCAAGGATGATGTGGAAATTAGATCCAGGTGTAAGTACACACTGACGATCCCAGCACTCAAGAAGCTGAGGCAGGAGGATAGTGAATTCAAGGCCAGCCTGAGCTACATAGTAAACTCCAGCATAGACTGGACTACATAGCAAGACCTTGTCTTGAAACAAACCTGGAACAGAGCTGGGGATATGGGTTAGTGGGTAAAGCACTTGCTATGCAAGGGTGGAGATTAGAGTTTGGGTCCCCAGGCCCCAGGTAAATTAAGGGGCTGCCTTGCATGTCCGTGAGGGCCAGCAGAGATATGCTTATCCTAGACTCACTGGCCACCAAGCCCAGCTCAATGGATAAGATAGGTTCAATGAGACAGTGTGTTTCAAAAATTAAGGTGGAGAGTGATTGAGGAGGGCCTGACATTGCCATCTGGCTTCCATGGACATGAACAGGCGAGTATACCCACAAACTACACACATCCCAAATTAAAAAACAAAACATCAAAGACAAGAGAATAAAGAAGCCACTGGAATAAAATAAGTTTTCAGATATGTTTTATGTAACACAATACATCCAAAACTTTTCCCATTTCAGCTTGTGATCAGTCTTTAAAAGAGAGAGAGGGGAGAGAGAGAGAGAGAGAGAGAGAGAGAGACAGAGAGACAGAGAGAGACAGAGACAGAGAGAGAGAGAGACAGAGAGAGAGAGAGACAGAGAGAGGTGTTAGACTTACCATCATAAGTCTTAGAAACTGAGGTGTCTCTTCCACTTTTTGCCTACCTTAGGTTGAACGAGCCACACTCGGGGCTTGGTGGCCATATGAATGGTCATCTGTTCTCTGTGGCCCCACAGCAGTGGTCCTGGCTTGTCAGGCTCTGTGGACATTCACCGGACAGACCATGATCTCAGAGAGAAGCTGTGTGTTCTTCCTGATTGACAGAAGCCAGAGAGAAGCATGTTTCTATCGCCTCAATAAACACCGTGATCATTAGGAACTCGGGCAGGAAAGGGTTTCCTTCAGCTTACAGTCTG